CGCCAGTGTCCTCCCTAGAGTTGAGTCCTGAGGGAGAACCGCAGTAGGTCCCGACACACCCAGACCCTCTCCCGAGATCTCCAGCCCAGCCAGCGTGCCCTCCCGCCCAGAATCTATTCTTCAGGGGGGACCCTGCGCCGGTCCCCTCCACACCCCGGCCCCGGGCGCAGGCAGTGGCTTTTGTCCGGAGAGAGAGCAGCAACCAAGTCAACCCCCCTACCCACCGCCCCTCGTGATGCGCAGGCCTCAGGTCTCCAGTTCTGGGCGCCCCGGGTGCCCCCGGACCCCTGAGTGTGTTTTCCACACAGGAGAGCCCACGGGATAACAGAGGAACGCCCACTAAATGCCAGCAGCGGTATCCGTTGTGGCGGCCTTAAACTTTGGAGCTTACATGGAGCTATGTGACTTAGACGGCATTTACACCCCCATAGCCTCATCTGGTTCTTGCAGCTCAGAAAGCCGGACCCACTGCCCGCTTCATCCTAAGGGGACGGAAGTGCTCTGAGCCCCCCCCCCCCCACCGCCCCGACCCAGTCTCTCAAGTGGAAGCCCGGGACTCGTTCAAAAGCAGACCCCAGGGCTCTTGTGTCTCCGCCTTGTAGGAAGGTGTCACCTTGTAGGAAGGGCTCGGTTCCTCTACTCTCACGGTCCTGCTCCAGCTCATTCCCATTCCTCATCTTTTGCTGTCTCCCGCCTGGTCCTTCCCTCCCTCACCCCTGTCCCTCAGCGGGGTTCAGGAGCTTTGGAAGGGCAGGGATTCCTCCACAAAGACCGTGAGTTCTTACGGCCGCCTGGCTGCGGCCAGGTGGCAACGGCAGCCAGCCCTCCCTTGTGGATCGGACCCTGCTCCTCCACCCGAGAGCACACGCTCCAGTTCTCTCTCGGTGGCCTGAGATCTGCGACCCTCTCGCACTCCCAGCACCCCGCCTGCACCCCTGCACCTGCATCCCCTCTGTGGTGATCTGGGACTGGGTGGATATCCCACCCGTGCGGGGGTCACAATCACAAGGCAGTTCTTCCCGACTGCTCGATGGCTCGGCCCCTCCCTTCCTCACCTAAGCACCCGAGAGCACAGCCCCATCACCACCAGCTAGGGGCGATCGAGGCCAATGTCATCAACAGGCTTAGATTTACAGATGCTTTAAATCTATCCAAGTCCAAGACACACACAAGAGAAACCTCTTGTGCCTCCTCATAGCTTCCTGGGCTTCTACGGTCCTGGAACAAGAAATGTCTCTGCAGGCGACATTTTGTCCGACTCTCGGGACCATTCAGACGCCCATGCCTCCAGGAACTGCCACCACCCCAAGCCCAAGTCCCTTGCGTCCACTGCCCTCATCACAGGACTGATGTCTGCTCCTCCAGTGCCATCAGCTTCCCTCTTATGCCGCCTTTGCCCAAACCCCCGATCCTTCCCTCTGTCCTGACTCAACTCATTCCCGTTCTTCCCTGATACCACCGGCTGAGCCTTTGACTTGGAAGATGTTGTAGCTCCCAACCCAGAGCTCCGTGGGTCAAAGCCAAGAAGGGGGGCAGGAGTGAGGATGGGCGGCTTCCTGCAGACACGGTGTTGCCTCCTCAACCTACAACATCTCCCCCGAGGTTCAGGCCAACCCTCCGACACCCTGTCATCCAGTCAACAGTCCTCAGGATCCACAGGGACTGATGGTACCTGAACCCTGTGGTGTTCTCTCCTGTGTTGCGGACAGTAAATGACATACAGAAAAGCAAAGAGCCCTCCGCTTCTGCTTCTCATACCCACGTCTCGATTCCGTTGACGCCATGCTTCTCACAGCTATGGACTCCAGTAGCATTCCTCCTCGGGGACGGGTCAGGAGAGAGGAGGGATGGCGAGTGCAGGAGCAAAGTGCCCGAGCAGGTGGAAGCCAAGGGGTTCTGAGCACAGGCGAGGGAGGGCTGGATGCAGCCAGGGGCACCCATGCCCAGGGCCCGTACAGAACGCCAGGGTTAAAACAGGTAGATTGGATGTGGGAACCTCTGACAAGGCACACCTCCTTGCTTCTATCTTCTCCATTGAAATGGAGGAGGGCTGCTATGGAGGACAGGAGTGGTGTAGGTAGAACGAGGGGCAAAGTGAGAAGCGATGCTCCTCCGGTCACGGATTTCAGATAAACAATTCAGTGAGGTCAAACATTTTTGTGGTCGAGGCTCAGGCTGCTCACACAGAAGCAGGGTTGTGTCCCTTATGGGAGCACACAGCAGGACAGCATGGGGGTGCTGGGGGTGCGGAGGAGAAAGGACCAAGAGAGGTGCCACAAGTGGCGAGCGGCACCGCGGGGAGTGGGGTGGAGCGGGGCGGGGCGGGGGGGGGCGGGCCAGTGGCGGCCGGGGCGCGGCTATACCCCTGGGCAGGCTGGGAACGGCGGGGGCCTAGTGGAAGGTGGGGAAGGCTTGCGTGTGGGGTCCACACTGAAGAGGGCCCCCAAGAGGTCGAAGGTTGTTTAAGCAGAGGGATTAGCAGGAGGGAGCTAGCTGAACAGGGCCCAGTGTTGAGATGTTGACAGGGAGGCATGCTGGAAGGGACATCACAGGGACGGGGCGGGGGAGAGGGTGGTGGCGGGGTGGGGAGCGGCAGCTGGTTTCCGGAGGTTCAAGCCTTGACCGAGTGCACAGTGATGCTCAGGTGATCAGGAGGAGAAGCACCCTGAGGTGGGAGAGGCCCCGGGGCCCACCGAACCCGCTCGCTCGTGGGTCCTGATGTCACCGGGAGGCTCCCCAAGCCCGGGGGCTGACAGGAGGCAGGCGATTGTGCCAAGGGACCACGGCGTTCTCAGGCTAGGGCGGGCACAGGGTGACCGGGAATTGGTACAGGCCCCCCACGCGCGGGGCGGCTGGGGCATTCGGGCAACAGGACCTGGACATCACAGGTCCTGCCCAGCAGCTGACACTTTGGAACGCGGTCCCTGAGGAAACGGTTAACTGAGGCGGACCGGAAAGGGGCTTGGCGCTCACTATTCCTCCTCCTGCCGGCCTACACCGAACCGCCACTTCCAGGGCCGCCCGCACGTCGCTCTGGTTCCAGGGGCGGGGCTAAGGCCGCGTCGGCGCTGGAGGCGTCGTGCAGTGACCACCGCTGCCGTCTGGTACGGTGTCCCTAGGATTCGCCCGCCGTGCGTTGCTGCTGTTTCACTTTCGAAATGCAGCGGAAAGCGGGCATTTGCTGCCAAGAATGACGGCGCCGCGTTTCTGCGGGCAGCAGGGGGCACTGTGGAGCCAGGAACTCTTTTCTCGCCCCCGCCTTTTGTGGTGGAAAAAACTGCATGAAGCCACTTCCGCGATATTCGGGCCTTCGTTTCTGCCCAGGAGCCGGCTGGCCGGTTCCTTCCCTGTGGCTGAACTGCTCTGTTCACTGGAGTCCCTACGGAAAACTTGGCTCCCCGGTATCCTGTATTTCTGATTCCCTGAATGGTCTACCATTGGCTTTCATCAGCGTGTTTTTCACTGAACTAGTCACGCAGACCTCAGTGCAGGCAATTGGGAGGGCTGATTAAAAAAAAAAAAAAAAATAGGTGATCCGAACCACGCTTTTGCCACCAAGGACGGCCACTGTTCCTTTGTGATACACGTCTTCGTCGGCCTTCGCACCCATAAAGGTGCACTGCACACACAATGAGATGCATGTTGCAGTGTGACTTCAGCTTCTTTTATTAAAAGCTCAGGTTTTGAGCGTGAGGTAGCTGTTCTAAACATCATTTGAGAGGGCTTGAGTAATTGTCGTTCATTTCTCTTTGTAAGAGTACGCGTAGTCTTGAAGAGTGTAAGTACTATATTGGACAACCGAGACGGAGAGCAGAAATGACCCGTGACTCGTGCTTGAAAGGGAAATAACCATACTGTCGCCTTCCTAAGGACAGGGCCCCTGTTTCTGCTTTGTTTTTAACTTTGTATTTTTAACATATGAAATCCACTTGTTTTGTCTGTCCTCCCACATGCTCACTTTATTGTGCCCAGGGCGGGGGCTAGCTGCTCCCTCGCTCCTGTCCAGCAAGCCTGGGAAGTCACAAGACCCACTGAGATGGGTCACATACTCCCTGCGGTGTCTTTCCCCCAGGCTATTTGGGAAAAAAAAAAAAATTCAACGGATTGTAGCCTTTTGGGAGGACAGGAGAAGAGTAATTATCCGTGACCAGCCACGTCCAACACGTTCTGCACGTCACCTTCGTTTTTGAGTCCTTGTGATAGTCCTGTACCCGGGAGAGAACGGTGAGGTTTTCATGGCTGACATTAGGCAATTTATGTATTTTCTGGAAACTCACCTTGGCTTATGCTGCGCCGAACGTGTCCTCCAGTACTCCTCCCTGGCTCTTGAAATACAAACACCAGTGAAACGGCAAACTTGCCGAAGAAACCCGCGCACACGTTTAGGGTAATGGGCCGCGCGCTTGCGCGGAAACCTACAAGTTGACACATACTGCCTCTTTCCTTCAATCGGGGATATAAGCCAGTGGCTGCGCTGTCCTCCCCAGAGGGTACTGATAATCAGACGTGGTCATGTGCTAGGCTGACAGGTGAAACGTAGGTCGTATGGTCTGAACACAAGTCTTTATGATGTGTGAGAGTCAACGTCCTTTCGTATGTTTAATGCCTACCCGTTCTTTTTAAATCCCCCTCATGGAACTTCAATCGATGAGGAGTCACGTAAGGAGATACAGTGACTTTTAAAATGACTCCTTGGACAAATAAGGAAAGGAAAGGAGAAATGAGAATGATAGAGCGAGACCAAAAGCAGGTAAAGCCAAAAATGGTGCCTGGCAGACGCGAACTCAGTCCACTACTCCACGTCTAATTTGCTGTTTTCTCTTTTCATTCTGATAAGGATACTCCTTCCCAGGGGCACGCGGTCACATCGAGTCAAGCCCCAGCCGCGCTGTCCTGTTCGAACGGATCCTCCAAGCTACGATCAAGGCCAGAAGGCCAAAGGACGCACTGCTCCTTCAACTCGCTGCAGGGGCCCGTCTGACTCGGTTCCTGAACCTCGTACATGCCTGGGCCTCCCTCTCGGAAAAGAGCTGGCTGATGATGAAAGGACTTCATCTTGTCCGGACGTTCATCTTGTCTGAGAGAACACAGGGTAAATCACTTACAAGAGGCTCTACTTTTCCTTGCTTCAAGCCGTGTCTCCTACGTTGTTTTCCCCCTTCCCTTCCTTCCCCGAGGCACCCTTTTGGTTGCCTCTATCACCCTCAAATGGTACCAAACAACAGGGCTGGCAGAAACAGCTCTCAAAGAACCCTGCTGACGGCTGCTGGAAGGAGACTGCACCAAGGACCGGACCGGAGCAAGAGGCACGGAGAAGCCGAATGAGTTCCCCGCCATCCCAACCACACATCTGTGACAGGTAACAGAAACCGAAACCTGAGGACCACCACGGTCACGGACCTGCCTTCCCCTTTCCCTGTACAGGGACCTCTCATCCCCTTTCCCTATGCGCGCACCTCTCCTCACCTTCCCCTGTACGGCCTCCAGCCGGCTTCCCGCGCAGACAGTCAGCTGGTCTGAAGAAGACAAACAGCAGCCGAATGAAGCCAGGAGCCCCTATCTGAGTCACTCTAGTCAGACTTTCTCTTCTCCCCAATTCAACCACCAAGTTGACCTCAGTTTTCTAGCGTCCACAGCAGAGGGCTCTGCAGGCTCGCGTGCTCGAGCTGCAGTCACCCGCGGGTCGGTGCGGACCTTTCAAGGCAAGGGAGGGCCAGGCTTCCTGATGAGGCCATTCCAGGGAAACCTCTGCCCTGAGACATGGGAGGGTTCGCGTTACCCAGAAAGCCTCAGCAGTGGTCTCCCTAAGTAGCAATTTTCGTTCTCATCTGCTAAGTGGGGGTCACTTTTTGAAAGTGCAGACAGTTATACTCACCTGCCAGGGAAGGTTTCTGTCCTGAGCGGCACCACACTGCATGCGGAGTAAGACTTAGCCCGGGGTGGGGGGCGGGGGCACGGGGGCGGGGGGGGGGGGCGAGGCGCGGAGTGCCTGACACTAAGTATATACGCTCCGTACATCGTAGCCACGTGATTTTGTAGCAGCAAATAGCCCACGGTGTGGAATCACAATTGGGGCGCTCAAGAATTTCCCTACCTCCTTCGACCGGAGGCAAAAGCTGTCTGTGCCCAAATAATACAACTATGAGCGTGCCGTTAGTTAAGCAATATAGGAAAAGGTCTGACTTGCTATTTGGGAAATGTGTCTCACGGAAAACCTCAGAAGCTGACAAAAAGAAAAAGAGAAAAATAAAATAAAAAGGGCTCGCACTTCTGCATAGAGTTTGTTTTTCTGGGGATGCTGCAGTCCATGCAGGTAGGTAACTCAGGGTACAGGCCAGTCCTTTGGAAGTCGGTTTTTTTTTTTTTTTTGGTTTTTTTTTTTTCCATTTTTGAAAGGTTTTATTGATTTATGTTTAGAGAGAGGGGACGAGAGGGAGACAGACATCAATGTGTGTGTGTGTGTGTGTGTGTGTGTGTGTGTGTGTCCCCCTCGCGCGCCCCGCACTGGGGACCGGGCCCCCAACCCAGGGGAGTGCCCGGACAGGGAATCGGACCGGGCGCACCCCTTCGGCTCCCAGGCCGGCGGCGCTCGACCCAAGGAGCCACACCAGCCAGGGCCGGGCCAGTCTTTTGAATAAGGGAGCGAAACCCCTTAGCTTGAAAGTACATGAAAGTTTCTCTTCCAAGGACTCTTTTCGTTACAACGAGGGCAGGTGTCGTCACTTGAGAGCACCGGGGACCTCCGCTTACAGCTGTCTTTCAGTGTCTGGTACTCCTGAGGACGGCCCAGTCCATTCCTGTTTACGCTGTCGTCCCTCTCCATTCTCCCTCTCGTGTGCGCGGGACTGAGCGCAGAGGGCATCTCAGAGGTCACGCAGACCAGGGGGCATCGAAGTCGCTGTGCAGGTACAATAAACGTTTCGTGCAATAAATCCCTACACATACCGGGACAAAAATGAGTTTCTGTACTCGGACCAGGGGCTCTCTCACCACCCTTGCCTAGATGCACCCTCCTGCTCAACCAATAACTGAGCTTGAATCCTCTTCCTAAAACTGAGGAGACAGCGGGCCCAGAGAGCAAAGAATCTTAATGGAGAGCAAAAGACGGCAAGGCTGGTAGAGCTGGAACTGGGAGGGAGGTCTCTGGAGCCCTGGTCCAGGGCCCTCCAGGAGACCTCCAGGAAGAAAACGCTGGGGAAGAACTTCACGTCCCACCTAAGGACGCCTTTCGCGTGAAGAAGTTGTCAGCATAAACGGGTTCAGATTACCTGTGTACCGTACTCTTTAAGAAGAAACGTTTTGGCAAGAAACATGGGACCTGTTTTCAGTTACGTGAGGCCTGCCAAAGCAGCGTCAGAGCGTCAGAACCATCAGCTGGACTTGGGGAGGGGCAGGCCATTGCCGTCGGGTCAGCCTGGCTTCGCCCGTACCGCTCCCTGTCAGACGGCCGTCGCTGGGCCCCTTCGTACAGGCTCGGTGTGTTCTTCCTTACACGCCCTGCCCCTCACTACGTGACCCAAATCAGCCACCCCAGGCAGCAGGCTAGGGTGACTGTCGCTTTCAACCCTTGGACCAAATCGCCTTGGGGTGCGCTGCAGAATGCAGGTTCTACGAAGTGAATACGCTGCAGGGCAGGGATCCCCCTGGAAAGACTCCCGAAGTGGACTGAATGCTCGGTTTGGGGTGATGGTGACACAGGACAGTAAGAAGCTAGGAAAACGCCTTGGCAAGTGGAGTAGGGACGCCGAGACACGTAGCTGAACACACTGGTCCAGCACTTTACTGGTCCAGCCAGGTGCAGATGGTCACGAGGGCGGAAGGCCCCCGGGGCCTGGCAGGGGCCAAAACCGGGCAAACCAGGACCTCGCCCCGCCACGGTAACCTCTCCACGCTGGAGGTAACAGCCAAACCAGGCCCGGGAAGGCAGCCAAACCAGCTGGGTGATGCCAGAACCCACTGCACTGACTGAAGACCCCCCTGCCCTGTCGCTCACCAATGGGCGGAGACCACCACCCTAAAAGGGCACACCCGGACAGCTGATGAACACGGAGGCCTCCCCGGAGATCCCTGCCCGCAAGACAGGGGTAACGGCCCGAAGGCAAAGGATCCAATGGGCGCCCCGTGGCTCCAGGGAGAAGCCTGTGCCATTCCCTTCCTTTCCACACCAGAACATCCTCCCCTCCGCCCCCCCCCCCCAACAAACACACCAACACACCAACACACCACCGCCACCACCGCCACCACCATTCTTTCTTCACAGGCTTGGGTCTCCTAAACTCTAAGGCAATGGGCAGCTGGCAGCTTGTCCCAGGCTAATCCCCTTGAACCTGCCCCCAAATCCCCCTTTCCTCTGACCTGCCAGTGAGCTAAGGCAGCCGAGCCCAGGCTCCCCTGTTGCTTCTTCTGTGCTAAGTCCTCCCTTGTTTCCCTCTCCGCAGCTGCAATAACTGTATCCACAGAGTGACCTGGCTTCGTGCTGTGAAATCTTTCCTGCCGGACGTCGACAACCCACACACTAGAGCTGGCTTTAGGCAGCCCCACTCGGGGCCAGGCAGGCTCCTGTCCGGTGACAATGGGACAGTGCTTGGGAGCACTCTATTGTATCCGTCCCTGAGTTTTCTATAATGAGGCCCGAGCGACTGCCATCAGTGCAGCCTATGGGCACGAAGGCCCATGAAACCCAAAAGGAGCTGGGGAAAGGCCACGTGGACCCAACTCGGAGGAGCGGCAGGACAGGCTGCTAAGCAGCCTCGGCGGCAACGTAGAAGAAACAGGCAATCTGAAAAGGAAAGCGTCCGGTGTGTGTCTAGAACCCAGCTTTTCACTGGTGAACCTAGTGAAACAACAGCGGCGGGCACGGTGGCTGGCTGCAGAGCCTGCACAGGCCCAGAAGAGAGCCACCAACCACGGATAGGACTGCATTTTTTTTCCAGCAGGAAGGGCGGGGGAGAGCTGGCCCGGCGGGGACACGGTGCGCCACTGCCCTCTACTGCCCAGAGAAACAGGAGGCCGCGCGCGCCACGGAAGACGGGTCTTTTCCTCCGGCGCTCCGCGCCGAGTCAGGGACCCCAGTGGCTGCTGGGGACCAGCGCGGTGACGGTGAGCGTCCGTGAAGGCAAAAGACCCTGCCCGAAAGGCCCCGAAAGGCCCCGGCAAGGCCGCTTTCCCGGCGCGGCCCCCAGAGCCTGCCCCGCGGGAGCCGGAAGTCCAGGCCAGCCCAGGCGGGCAGGAAAGCCGCCTCCCACAAGCGGGTGCTGCCCGCCCTCCGATTGGCGGGTTCTGGGCGTGCGCGCCGGAGCCCTGTGGCGGCTCTGCCAGTCTCCGCGCCAGCGGGCTTAGTCCCAGATCCTGCGGCAACGGTCAGCTGAGGGCCAGGACTCCTGTTGCCCTGGGGCTGGGGACCCGCTTCCCCAGCGCCCCCCCCCCCCCAGCAGTACCCGTACCATTCTCTTCTTCGCTGCCCCCCACCCCCTCCCCGTCCCGATCTCGAACAAGATCTTCCTGTGACGTGTTCTCCCGTGGTCCTCACTCTTTGGCACCGTTCGCGTGACCTCGGGGCCCATGAGCCTGGCCCGGTCCACACGGAGCCTCCACCTCCTCACGGACATACTGCACTTCCTCTCCACCCTACATCCCCATTCCCAAGCACGCGCCTGGGCATCAGGGACCCCCTGCCCCTCCGCGGCGCGTTCGTTTCTAGCATCCTCCTCTATCGTCACCTCGAAACCATGTCCCCCTCTTCCAGCACCCTTGCTCTAATGCCTCCCCTCAGACAGCCTTCCAGCTCATGGGGCCGCCCGTGTGGACGCCACAGCCTGCTCACCAGCCACACGTCCCCCCCCTTACCCAGCCTCTCCTGGGCTATCGACTCCCCCTCTAAGGGCGGCTGTCTCGCTGCTTTCTACCCACTCCGTGCTCTCCTGCTGTGGCCCAGTGAAGAACACACCCCTGGCTTGGGCGTTGATGGCGCCAGTTTAAGCCCCCCTTAACTTTCTGAAATCCCTAACTAGAAGAGCTTTGGTTCTCACTTTGGCCCTCATCCTACCGACACCGCCGCCTTCCTCACTAGCAAGCCTCTTCCATTCCCATGCCCTTCCCCAATAATTTATGCAGGGCACAGAGGCAGCGAGGCAGGGCTCCCGCTCTGCTTCTCAGACCCAGGGGACCTGTTTCTCCCGGGGCAGTCGCTGCTGGCCCTGGGCATGCCTGCTGGCGTCTGCAGCCAGCCCTCACCTGTGCTCAGCATCCCTTGCCTTCCACCTGCTCGGGGACTTTGCTCCCGCGCTTCTCACTAGTCTCCTGAACTATCTATCGCCTGCTCTTTGTACGCGGGGGCCCTCCCACGCCAAAGGGGCCACACCCGACAACCCCCTTCCCGCGTGTCACTCTGCGGCCACTGGCACAGGACTGGATGGTTTTCAGAGGGCAACTGCGTCGACTTCTCCTCAGACCGTTTGCTCCTGGGTCCCCGTCAGTAAGGCTTGGCCGTGCCCAGCACGCCCCTGCAGCTGGGCTACTCAGGGCCACCGCCATGAATATCCGTAGTATCCAGTTGCACCATCGCTTTTCTAGGCTCATCCTGGGCAACTGCTTTGGCAGCTCTGGCTCATAGTCCCACTCCGTCCTCTAGCGCTCTGCTTCATCCTCCCTTTTGGAAGGAAGGCAGACTTGGTGTCAACATACGTAGCCTGCCGTTTCGACAAGGTAACGTTCCACAGGAGGCCCCGCGGACCTGGGCAGGCTCTGGCACATCTGGAGTCAACACGAAAGGCAAACCCCAGAAAACAGTGTCTGTTCCAGTCCCAGGGCGAACGGCCTTCAGAAGCAGAGGCAGGCAGGGGTCAGACCCCTCAGAGAAGGGAGGTGAGTCCAGGAGTGAAGAGGAGCTCCATCTGAGGGAGGATTCACCCCATTCACACTCGGGACACAGAGAAGGACACTGCGCAACGAGCCAGCAGTCTCCTTGGGCGGAGGGAGGGCGGAGGTTGGGAACGCGGCTGTCCTGTCGGGGAGCCGACCCTGCTTCCTGCCGTGGTGTAGGCGAGGCCCCAGGGGACTGCACTCCTTGAAGGGGGCATGTAGAAAGCGGCTGACCGCAGGCGTGGCAGCATGAGGGAGGCCCGAGCAGGCAAGGGGCAAATGACCCTGCGGCGGGGGCTGTGGAGGGGGCAGTCCTGCCCCGGCGGGAAAAGCAGGATGACGCCCAGAGGGGTCCGCACAGGTAGGAGAGGCCGGGTCAGCTGGGGAGCATCACCACCCGCCCGCGTTCGAGACCAAGAGTCCCGTGTCGGGAATGCCAGTTCCGCCCGCCGCACCCTTGGGTGAGCTGCGCCAGTTAGAGCTGGGAGACAAGGGCCCTCGTTTCCCCAGCGACCGCCTGGCGCATGTGAGCCACAGAGGTGTGTCACAGATCCCCCTGCCTCTGTCATCGCAGACTCACAAGCCAAGCACACCCCTTCCCCAGTGTGGAACGAGCCGGGGATGTGGCGCAGAAATCTGAGAGGGAGCGCTTTCACTGACACTCACCGAGCACTTGTACGCACGCACCATGGACGGTGGACGTGTTTGCCTGTAGCTGCACTTAAGCGGATCGGAGGCAAACCGAGAGTCCTTTGGCCCCCACCCCTCACACGCCAGTTCAGGGGGCGGGCGCCTGTGACGGAACAGCAGTACGTTCAGGCAGAATAAATGGGCCGAGTGCAGCTGCTCTCCGAGGAGCACGCGGCAACCTGGGAAGTCAGGACCACCGTCCCTGCCGCCGCCGCCCACCACCACCGCCCACCACCACCGACCCCCCCCCCCGCCCCAACCCCTCCACCCCAAATCTCCTCTGCCCACCTTCCTACTGGAAGGTCCGGGTGACAGAGGTCCTTAGAGACCTTGGGGTCCTTGCCCCCTCAGCTCTTTGACCCAGGACAACGTTTAGTATCCCGTAAACGGGCTCCTAAAACAAATCACAGAAACAGGAGAGGCGCGGACAGACTCACGGAGAGGAGGAGCTCACGTGGGTGGTCACTGTGGCGAGCAGGGTCTGCTCAAGGCCGTCCTCGCCTCCACAGGCGACGCCCGGCTCCGCGTCCTCTCCCAACACAGGCCTTCCCTTCAAGGCCCGAGTCCCGGGGTTCGCGCGGCTCCACACGCGCGTTTCCAGAGCCAGAAAAGGACTCCTGGGGGAATATGCAGAAAGGCAACTTTTGTTACCAGGAGAAGCCAGTGTTTGCCTTCTTACTTCTTTAGAAGGTAAATCACGCCAGTGTCCTCCCTAGAGTTGAGTCCTGAGGGAGAACCGCAGTAGGTCCCGACACACCCAGACCCTCTCCCGAGATCTCCAGCCCAGCCAGCGTGCCCTCCCGCCCAGAATCTATTCTTCAGGGGGGACCCTGCGCCGGTCCCCTCCACACCCCGGCCCCAGGCGCAGGCAGTGGCTTTTGTCCGGAGAGAGAGCAGCAACCAAGTCAACCCCCCTACCCACCGCCCCTCGTGATGCGCAGGCCTCAGGTCTCCAGTTCTGGGCGCCCCGGGTGCCCCCGGACCCCTGAGTGTGTTTTCCACACAGGAGAGCCCACGGGATAACAGAGGAACGCCCACTAAATGCCAGCAGCGGTATCCGTTGTGGCGGCCTTAAACTTTGGAGCTTACATGGAGCTATGTGACTTAGACGGCATTTACACCCCCATAGCCTCATCTGGTTCTTGCAGCTCAGAAAGCCGGACCCACTGCCCGCTTCATCCTAAGGGGACGGAAGTGCTCTGAGCCCCCCCCCCCCCCCACCGCCCCGACCCAGTCTCTCAAGTGGAAGCCCGGGACTCGTTCAAAAGCAGACCCCAGGGCTCTTGTGTCTCCGCCTTGTAGGAAGGTGTCACCTTGTAGGAAGGGCTCGGTTCCTCTACTCTCACGGTCCTGCTCCAGCTCATTCCCATTCCTCATCTTTTGCTGTCTCCCGCCTGGTCCTTCCCTCCCTCACCCCTGTCCCTCAGCGGGGTTCAGGAGCTTTGGAAGGGCAGGGATTCCCTCCACAAAGACCGTGAGTTCTTACGGCCGCCTGGCTGCGGCCAGGTGGCAACGGCAGCCAGCCCTCCCTTGTGGATCGGACCCTGCTCCTCCACCCGAGAGCACACGCTCCAGTTCTCTCTCGGTGGCCTGAGATCTGCGACCCTCTCGCACTCCCAGCACCCCGCCTGCACCCCTGCACCTGCATCCCCTCTGTGGTGATCTGGGACTGGGTGGATATCCCACCCGTGCGGGGGTCACAATCACAAGGCATTTCTTCCCGATTTCTTGCCCCTCTGTTCCCCACCTGAGGCACCCGTGGGCAGAGCCTCATCACCAGCTAGATTGAGAGATCGAGGCCAACGTCAACAAGAGAGCTTCGATTTACCTTTTCCATGCCGTTCGTAGTGTTACATTTTAGCCCCACTCTCTCCCATTATTTTCTTGGCTTGTGTTGTCTCAGGCTCAGTCTCTGGTCTAGAATCAGACTCGCTGGCAATGTCTGGACCTCAATGGATTCTGGCTCGTCATCTGTATATCGGAACAGTGTGCACTCTCAGTGTGACCCCAGATTCCTCCTCCACCCCACACTTAGGTATTGGGACAAAGCCTTTAGGTCGGGAGGGGCGTGGCCTGTGACTCTGTTACCCCACCCACCCATTCTCCTTGACCCCCAAGTCGAAAAGTCAGCAATTAGCACTTCGCTCAGCAAGCCTCCTGCCATTCCTCACCACCTGCCCCCCAGCCCGTCCTCCTCAGTCCTCTCTTCTGGCCAGCGCGCCTCCCAGGGGACCCCATGACACACTCTCTACCACATGTATGGGCGTCAGATCTCTCTCCTTGATTAAAGGCTCAGTTGTCCAGGGCAGGGGCTGGCCCTGGAATTCCTCCTCTTCCACCACTCCGAGAGCCAGGGTACCATGCAGGGGACAGGCGAGGGGAGACGATGGAAACCTTCACGCGCGGTACAAGACTGACTGTGGTTGGCGGGACTGCCCTGATGCGGCTGCTGGAGCGAGGCTCTCCCTTTCCTACCTCTGCCAGCCGGGCACAGTCCCCGCCTTCTCTGTACTCTGCTTTCCCACCTCATAACCTGGGATGGAAATCTTGCTCAATGACGAGTCTGGGGGAAATGGGTGTATGTGGCATACTGTCTGACACCTAGTAAACCACCAGCGAAAGTGAGATGCCACGTTAGGCCTGCTCACCACACACCCCAAACGACCAGGCTGGAGTTCGGCCTTTGTGTTTCACGACAAGCCCTGCTTTACTGACCTTCTCCCCTGGGGCTGCGCACAAAGCCTGGCAGGGTCCATGGAGCTCCCATGCTCTCTGATGAGGTCAGGAGTTTGGAATCTAATAAACGTCCCTCTTCTGAAGCCACTCCTGTCTGCAGAAGACATACATTCTTGCAGCAACACAGGTCTGGGGACCACCTATAAACACATGTCAAGAATGCAGAATTTATTTTCACTTCAGATGAAATGCACGGTCACTTCCTGGGTACACATCGTCGGATTCTGGGGGCGGGGAGAGGCAGGCTTAACCACCTCTCTCTCCTGAAATGAAAAGGCATTGTGTCCGGATCCCGACTCGTACTAGCTAAATGATGTTCTGGTCCTCACGTAGCAGGCACGAAGCTGCTGTTCACATTCACCACCCCAGGGACACCAGGCAGCAAGGAATGTCCCCTGGAGCCCAGGACAGGGGCACCAGCACCATCCTGCAGGCCCCCCTACTGTGGGCACGGACTCTGCTTGCAGCTCTCCCTGGGGAGCGGGACTCTCTGCCATGTCCCCCGCGTGCATGATCTGAAGGCTGTTCTTGCTGTAGGGGCGCCAACAGTGACTGGACCGTGTCCTCTTGAGCCCTCCCTCCTCCCCCCGGTCCTAAATCTCCTCCTCTTGATAAACTCGGATCTGCTGCTCTGGGATTTAAACATAGTGATCTGAGGTCTGACAAAGGACAAGCCCATGTGGATACACAGACCTGAATTCTAAAGTCAGTTTCCTCTAACACGTATATTTATTTGGTACCGAGGATGAGGTACTTCATCAGAAACTCCTTCAAGGGCAATGCTACTCGATGTTAAGGAGCAGGGAAACGCTTAGCTGCATTTCGCACATATTCATAGCGGCTTACACAGAGAACTCGACGGGGAATCGCCACATTCCAGTTCACATCCCCTCTCCACGATTCCTTTAGCCTTAGATTGTTGAAACCGATCTCATACTCGCACACGTGCACTCCGACACCCACGCGGCTCCTTTGTGGTGGCAGTCCACAAAACGGCACAAGAGCACATGGGCATCACCGAGGCATTCGCACTGCAGAGACACTTTATATCTCGTTGAGCATAGCGTAGGGGGGAAAGATAGAGATCCGGGGTGTGAAGGTGACAGCATGCATCACGGAAGCCAGAATATAGCCGTTGAGGACCACTGGTACGCAGTCTCGGTGGCCTCAAAATGGCCCAGTGCGGCGCGACTCCAGGCAGGAAAGGTCAGGACTGTCTTGGGATCGGATCAGCGCTGATAGGACGTTCGATCATAAACTAGTTGAGTTATCCCTCAGACGACTGCTTCCTGTTAGGTCCCCCAAAGGAATCCACGCCCAGGGTCCGGCAACACCAGCGTCCGTGCTCAGTCCGTCCAGATCTCCGTCACGTGAGGCGAGGCGGTCAGTTTTCTTTTAACCACCGTTTGTAGGAGCCTTCGGACCAGTCTTTTGCTTCCCTGCCGCCTCTCCAGTTGGAGCTTCTCCTCTCCCTGCTGCTGTTAGAGCACCCCGGCTGGCAGAAATCCAGGACGATTGGTACCCAGGCTGAGGGTCAGGCCACCGAGGCCCTCCCTGTGCAAGGCTCTCCCGGGAGGAAGGATGTGGGGCCCCGTTTCTCTCCGCTGGCATCCCACAAACACCCCGCCTACGGCTCTGGCGGTGTGGACGTTCACACCTAGATCTGTTCTGATCTCTATCACCAGAGGGAGAGATTCTGGGCGAGGTGTCTCCACTTCACTTGTCTGAGAAACGGTCCCTTCCTCTGAGGGGACGCTGGCCTTTCCCACTGCCCCTCGCGCAGGGTCTTCTCATCTCCGTACCGCTGCTGGAGCAGCCCCTCTGGTACAGGGGCAGGGTAGCTGGTGCCAGGACTGGGGCTGCGGTCACTGAGGCCCACCATTAGCAGTTCTGAGAAGGAAGGATGAGAGGCTGCCTTGACTTCCTGAGAAGTCTCTTCAGAGCTCATCGGGGAAGATTCAGAAATCAACGTTGCGCTGCATTTCTAGGGCGGATCCACGAAGGCCTCCTCTGTGCTCAGAGCTCCAGGCAGCCCCTGGGTCTGGACACAAAGGTGAAGATGAAGGTTCGCAGAGAGCGAAAGGTAGTGAGGGACGTGTGCAGCCAGAAGAACCCGGACTGCAACAAACGGTGATAAAAGAAGAAAGAAAATCCAGTATTATTCATCTTAACGTTTCTGTCCCTCTGTTTCCTAGCTGTAAAGTGGGCGTAATAATAATGAGCCCTACCTCCTAGCACTGTTCTGCGTGTTAGACGGGACAACACACCTCAAGAGCTCCGAATACCGGTGGCACACAGGAATGGTTTTAGAAGTGGGATCCATTGTTGCATGCATGTGACATGGAATGCAAAACGACGGGCCACAGTCAACCATGTGGATGCCCTGCTGACTTTTTACAAAGTATCCTCTAGCATAAGTTGAAGAACAATCAATGTGTGAGTAAGATGGGCTCTTTGCGTAAACACTCCTATACCTTCCCAAAGTAGACTTTTAACTCCATTCTAAGCACTTGCACCATGCTGACACGCCCTGTGAAGTTTTCACCTTCATCCTCACTGGCTATTCATGTAGTGAAAAGTGTGCTCAAGGCTACGGAAATCGAAATGCCTAGGAAGTAGAAATAAGAATTTGTTTTAGTAAAAATAAGAACAGAAATCAATGACGGAAAAAAAACAGAGAAACACAATTAAATCAAACCTGGTTCTTTGAAATGATCGGGAATATTAATAAACCTCTAGCGGGGGCTGGAGTGGGGAGAGCGAGAGCGAGCGAGAGAGAGAGAGAGGGAGAGAGAGAGAGAACAAGTTACCGACAATAGGAGTGAAAGGGGTGATTTTACTCTAGACCCAGCAAGCATGAAGGGCAATGTGGTAGCGCTACATCCAACTCTACGTATGTTAATGCAACAACATACGATGTAGAAGAAATGATCCGATTACCCAAAAACCATAAACTAGGAAAACTCACCCTGGAGAGAGAGTGTGCATAGTCAAGTATCTTTTACAGAAATCTAATCGGTAGTTAAAAACCTTTGGGGAAAAAACCCAGAGTAACACCGGAAACAAACAATGCGTAAGTGTAAAACTGCACATCATTCCGAACAGTGTGATGCAATCCCCCGCCATCCCACGCCGCGCTCCCCCAGGTGAATCATCCTTTCCTCCAGCGTATCCATAACGCTGTATCCATTGCCCACCCGCCTGTTAGGCATTTAGTAACCGTCTCAGTTATCAGATCGGTCCTTGGGGTGCTGCAGTGCTTGTGTCCCAGTAACCCTTATTTTACGTAGTAAATTGCCCAAAGCACAAGAGTAGCGATGCCGGCAATCCAGACATGCGAAAGAGAAGCCACAAAGTGCATGTATGTATAAGAAAAAAGACAATATACATAGGCTTCGGTACTACCTGTGGATTTAGGCATGCACTGGGAGTCGTGGAATGAATCCCTCATGGATAAGGGGGACTACTATATCTCAAGGAATATAGAGAGAGAATCATTAAAGACATTAAAATGCAACATTACAAGACACCCATTTCATGCAAAAGAAAGCAGCAAAGGAGGAACCAGAGACAGAAAGACAGAAAGAAACACAGGGGAAAAAAGTGTGACGGCAAATGTAAGTCCACCCGTGTCAGTAAGAACGTTAAATGTGAATAGATTAAATGATCCAATCAAAAGGCAGACGCTGATAGGCTGCATTTAGAAAAGCAAACAAACGAGATGCAACTGTATATCCTCTACAGGAGACACGGTTTCAATGCAGACGTACAAATAGATTGACAGCCAAAGTAGGGGAAAAGACACGTCATAAAACCAGCAACCACAAGAAGCTGGAGTGGGTATCCTGATATCAGGCACTTTTTAAAAAATAATCTTTATTATTACATGTTTTTCCATGACCATGTTAGCTCCCTTCTACCCCCTCCCCCCAGCAATCACCACACTGCTGTCCATGTCCATGAGTCTGGTTTTTGTTTTTTTTTTTGCTCAACCCCTCCACCCCCTGACCTCCCCCCCACCCCACTAGCTGCCATCTGTTCTCCACTAGGAGTCTGTCTCTGTTTTGCTTGTTAGTTCAGTTTGTTCACTCGACTCCACATATGAGTGAAATCACACGGCATTTGTCTTTCTCTGACTGGCTTATTGCACTTAGCGTGATGTG